ATAGGTCATTCTCTTTACACTGTGGATGATTTTGGGCACCTGATTGATATTTCGATTACTTTTAAATTTGCTTTAGGTTGCATCCCCTTGTTGCCCGTGAATATATAGTTATACTTTTCTTTCAAAGAAGAAAAAAATTGAAGAACAAATGAAATGGACGACAAGACAAAAATAGCAAAGGCAGACATTCATCTAGAACATTTTTTTGGAAATAAAAGATGAAAGTATTATTATTCACAAAGGTAGTAAGGGAGTACTACCCAATTACATAGAAATTACATATCAATTAGGTGGTCTATGACACACCCCAAATCTTCCCAATGTAATATGTCATGACCAAGTAAAATGAAACCAAAAGTTTTTAACCATCTATCATTGATGTTTACAAAGTCCGTTTCGATACCCTCAAAAACTCTATCATTCCTTTCTTTTTACACAATCCAAAAAGACATTCATCTAGAACGTATTTGGCATTCTATTCTGTTGCTATAATAAAGCCTCTAGCTGTATAATTCCTAGGAAGCAAGACTAAATTTCTTGGGAATATGTCATTTCTTTCCTCAATTTGATCTATAAACTATGTAGGCTTAGTATTATTTAGGTTTTGCACTTTAGTTCTACTGGAGTCTGAAGTTGGACTAGGAATTTACTCTTTTCTCTTCAGCAACTCTAACATGCCCTTATTTTATACTATTTGAAAATAAGAACATAAGGTAGTAAGAAGCAGTAATGGTTAGTTATCTTTGTTTATTGAAAATCCTTGATTTTTTGTCCATGAAAAGCCCTTAGAACTAGGGATAGCAATAAGTCAGGTTAGGGGCGAGTTTTGTGAAACCCGATTATGACCCAGTCATATAACACAAACTTGAAATTGTTTTGGATCTAGGGTGGGTCTAAAAGATTAGTGTGCATTTGGAGTGGCTTCCTAAGTTAAAACCATTATGCTCAGTTCCATTATGAGAATAAAACTACAAATATTCTAATGTAAGAATAAAAGAAGAAAAGAACCTTTGAGGTTGAAGAAGATGGCGACAGCGTGGAGGTGCAGTCCATCAGTCAAGGAGGGGGACTCGAGCAGTCGATGATGAGCAAAGGAGGACTTGAGCGCGGCAGGCATGGCTAGGATTAGGGTGTTGAATGAGTGTCACAAGATTGTGGGCTCACAATCACACAGTTGAGTAATTGTTGTTGAGGTCGAAGTGTGGAAGGACTCCAGGCTCCAGCAGACTCACACAGTTGAGCAGCTGCATCCCATCGAGGTCGAGGTGTGGAAGGAGGACCACAATGGCTGGGGTTAGGTTAAAAACTTAAAATGGGTGGGTAAGATATTGTTTTAGGTATTTTATTTTTTCTTTTTTAAATTAAAAATTAAAAGAATATATAGTACCAGGTTAAGTTTGGGCAGGTCTTCGCTGCCAAACTTGAACCCAGACCACTCTTGTCATAGCAAACAAAAAAACCTGAACTGACCAACTCAATTTAGTTTGGTTTCAGTTAAAAACCAGGACGGTTTTGGAAGGGTTTCTTTGGTTTTGACAATCATGGGTTTTCTCCCTACTTACGATAATGTGTCCTTAAATCATCCAAATGAAGCAAGTAAGGAAGCCTCTATCATCATTAATCCAAAGCATGCATGTCCTGGAGAGTGATATTATAGCCTTTTGATAAGTTTCCTTTTGTTCCAACTATTAATTTGTGGTGCTGTTCTTTTCAATTGTTCTGCTTGCCTCATTCTAAAATATTATATATAAAACCAGCAACGAAAATGCACCGATGAATCAAGATATCTGCTTGATTGATAAAAATAATAAACAATGAGATTCTGCTTGATTGATAAAAATAATAAACAATGAGATTCTGCTTGATTGATAAAAATAATAAACAATGAGATTTGGGGCTAGATAGGCCTTTGCTCAGTGGCAATATCCTCGGAAGTTGATATCTATGGTGTTAATCTTCATTTTGTTGGCATTAAATCGAGCTAAAATCTTGTTTATGTTTCCTCCCATTGAAATGGATTCTGTTGAATTCTGGTTCAGATCACAAGCGTGATACAGGCAGAGCAGAGGATGCACTAATACTTTCGTATGGCAGCGAGCTGCTTGGTATGCAAAGAGATTGGAATGAGGAATTGCAATCTTGTAGGGAATTTCCCCACACAAATCCTCAGGAGAGGTGAACAGTTTGTATATGTAGAGCTTCAACTTCCCATCTTTTTACATTCCTATCTGCCATTTATTATTATTCTTACCTGGTTTTCAATGTATCTACTTCTAATGGAAATGATTTTTCTTTTTGCAGGATGTTGCGGGATAGAGCTCTTTACAAAGTGACTTCTGACTTTGTTGAAGCAGCAATTGGTGGAGCTAGCGGAGTCATTGGTAGATGTATACCACCCATCAATCCAACTGATCCGGAGTGCTTTCACATGTTAGTCACCCAAAAAGAAACTAGACATTTTGAAACTACTTTGTTGTATTTCATTATTGTAGCTTATTAAGCCTGATAGTTGTACATGGAATATTCATGTAGTTCTTCGTGAAATTAACCTCACACCCACCTATCCATTCACATGCACATTCACACAAAATGAAACCCCGTGTGCTTGGCTATAGATTTCTTTCCCTTTGTCTATACTAGATCTGCATCGGACTATATATTTACTCGGCATTGATTGTTCATATGATCTGTCTCTTCTTCTTCCTGCACTTGGGAATAGCTAGGTTGGATCTTTTTCAGAGAACAAATGGTTGATTATGTGCCACTACATAGGTGTACTTTACGCATCTTAAGAAAGTCTTGATTTTGATATTATTTTTCATTTTTTATTCTCAATGTGATGTCATTTTGCATTGATTTTAGGTATGTTCACAACAACATATTCTTCAGTTTTGCTGTCGATGCGGATCTTGAACAGCTCTCCAGGAAATGTGCATCTGATGGTGATTCAAGTGCTGATAATACAAATACATATGAAAGGGTGGCTGGTAACTTACTGCGTGGAGAATCTGGAACTTCAAATGCAGCAGTATGTGATGGAATAACTGTAGTAGAACCAAATGGTGATGTAGACCTGTCTCAAGTGCCTACTGAGACTCAGTTAGCTGAAAGCGAGCAGGCTACTTATGCCTCTGCAAATAATGACTTGAAAGGCACCAAGGCATTCCAGGAAGTTGATGTCCCTGGACTGTATAATCTGGCTATGGCCATAATTGATTACAGAGGTCATAGGGTGGTGGCACAGGTTTGTTCTGAAATCATAATCACCCTGCATTTAACATTTATGTCCATCTTTTGATTAGTAAAACTTAGCTGTAACCTGCCGTCTTTTGTTCTGTCTTTCCTCATGCAGAGTGTATTGCCTGGAATTCTTCAAGGAGACAAATCAGATTCCCTTTTGTACGGTTCTGTTGACAATGGTAAAAAAATATGCTGGAATGAAGAGTTCCATTCTAAGGTGAGGAGTTTGAATACTTCTCTTGCTATGAGGTTTAACAGTCTATATCGTACCATTATGTTTGGAGCTTTAGCAAGGTTTATTTTATTTTATTTTTTTTGAAATAAAAAGTGTGAAATTCTATAAACATGGTACCGAACAAACGGGGGTACTGTCTATATACAAAAGTTTTACAATATTGTTAGCGAGTCAATGACATGCTCAAAATCTACATTACTAATCATGTCATGCCCCAACAATAAAAACTCAAAATATTGCAACCACCTATCTCTCAAATTATACAAATTATTAGCATTACCCTCAAAAGCTCTAGAATTTCTCTCCTCCCATAGAATCCAAAACAAAGATAAAGGAATTAGATTTTTCAACTTCCTCTCTATATGCATCCCTTCCCAAGCCCACACATCCTCCCTAATAGATCCAGCCATCACCTAGTTAACACCAATCATATCAAATATAGCATTCCACAACCAGAAGCCATAGGACACTGCAGCAGAACATGCACACAGCTTTCCTCATCAGCCATACACAAATGACATCGGTTTGGAACGGCCAACCCCCTAGTTTTAAGTTTGTCAATTGTCAAGATACATTCTCTACTTGCTTTCCATGCAAAAAAAGCAACTCTAGTGGGAATTTTCGCCTTCCAGATCTGCCTAGTGGGAAAATCAAAACTTATCACATTGTTTTTGGCTGGTAAGTGCTATAATAAGATTTGACTGAGAAAACACTACTTTAATCCAGCTTCCATAACACCTTGTCCTCCCCAGCAGATATCTGTTGAGCAGCCAATAAAAGTAGCAAATTTTCAAACTCGCTGAGTTCCCAGTCCTGCAAATTTCTCGAGACATTGATCAGTCATTCAACACAACCATTATTAATCTTGTAAGCATCTTGAATCAGCATATTTTTTGTCTGAGGAATGGAAAAAATTCTGGGAAATCTCCTCATTAAACACATATTATCCATCCAAATATCCTTCCAAAATCTGATTTTATTGCCCCTGCCAGCCTTCCTCATCAGATTTTCTCTGCATCAAGATTTTGCTCCATAAACTTGTTCCATGGGCTCTTCTAAGCCAAGTGACCCCACTGTTGTCCCACACAAGGTCACCTCAACGGATCCAAACAATCTGTCTCTATAATCTATTTTCCTCAAATAAATAACACCACAACCATTTCCCTTGCAAAGCCAGCTTTAGCAAGGTTTATGTTTTTAGTTCTGATGCAACTTTTTCTCTATAATTTAGTATTTTTGTTAAGTTCTCTGTATCAAATGGATTTTCTTCCCTAGCTTCAATTCATTTGGCTTATGTAGGTGCTGGAGGCTGCCAAACGCCTTCATATAAAGGAACACACAGTTCATGATGGATCTGGAAATATTTTTAAATTGGCTGCTCCAGTTGAATGCAAGGGCATTGTCGGTAGTGATGACCGGTAACCTTCCTTCCCTATGCAAAAAAAAAAAAAGGGGGACCTGAGAAAGTTGAAGGAATTACATCTGTACATACTAAATTTTGGACCTGAAAGTTGTAAAGTTGTAAAGTTGTAATTATCTTGGGTTGATCTCTACTTTGTATTCCTTTCTCAGGGAATTGTATGATATGACAGCTTTTATTGAGTGCATGATTTCTCTATAGTTCTACTTTTTAATACTGTTTTGGCTTACCACTTTAGTGGTTCTTGTTTTATTTATTTATTTACTTATATTTTGGGGGTGGGGGAGAACAGGCATTATCTTTTAGACTTGATGAGAGTGACTCCTCGTGACGCAAATTATACTGGACCTGGATCCCGATTTTGTATCTTAAGACCAGAACTAATTACCACTTTTTGCCAGGTAAAATGATATCAAAGTTCGAAGATTCTCTCAGCGATGACAAAGAGAAGGATTTTTTACATGTTCTGTTTCTAATACATATTTTTGCATGGTGAATGAAGGCTGAAGCTGTAGAAAGAGCAAATTGTAAGCCGAAATCAGATGGTGATGCTGGTGGGGCTGCTGATCCTTCAGAAGCTGCTGCTGTTAGAGTTGTGGATGGAGCAGAGGGTAGTGTAACCCCAATTTTTGACAATGCCCTGGTAACAGATTCGTTTTTAGCATAGTCTCTCCTTTTCTTCATGCTAAACTTTCCTGCAGCATTTTGTCTAAGTTATCTATCCACTAATTACCAGTCTCCATGCTTTTTTCCTTATACTATAAATCGCTGGTTCAAAATGCTTATACTTTTAGAAGCCAGCAACTTTGTGGTGGCATTTTATCCAAGTCCAGGAGCTTGTGATACCTGCATGGTGAAAGCTCTCTTGTGCTTAAGTTATCTTGTCAGTTGAGATTCCCCATTATTAGCTGTATTTTTGTTGTTTACACATATAATAACCGATATGTTTTTTTATTTCAGGAAACAAAACCAATATCTTTTTCTATTCTCTTTTGAGAATTATCTGTGGCTTACGTTGGAAAATTTTGAAGGAATTGTATTTTGATTTTACCTTATTTCTGTATTTGACCGATTAAATATGCACTAGTGACAACTGCAACAAATATTCTACTGTCTGTATCATATGCAATGTTATGTGTCCTAATAAAGTTTCGTATGGCTGTATCATTAATCGACAGCATCTGACACAAGAGAGGAAGACAGAGCCTGTCCAAGAATGTAATTCTGGTGACTCTGGACCTGTAGAAAGCTCTGAACCAAATGGGGATATATTTTTCAACCCCAATGTTTTTACCGACTTTAAATTGGGTGGAACTGAAGGGGTAAGGTTTCTTAATCTTCTAGATATTTCCCTCTTTTTTTTTTTTTAATATAATTGAGTTCTTAATTCTCTCTCTCCCCTCCCTGGTCTGATCTCTTTCTCATACCAGGAGATAATAGCAGATGAAGAAAATGTGAGAAAAGCTAGTTTATATCTTGTGGAAGTTGTTCTTCCGAAATTTATTCAAGATCTTTGCACCCTTGAGGTTTCACCTATGGATGGCCAAACATTAACTGAAGCTCTTCATGCTCATGGAATTAATGTTCGATACATTGGAAGGGTAGGGTTAATGTGCTTCAATTGTTGCTTCTTTTTTTTTCTAAAAAAAATTAACAGAGAACATTTGTTGCCTCTTGCAAGTTGGAATTGTTTGTTATTGGACCATAAGGAGTTTGATTCTTTCTTCCTTACTAGTAAAGTGTTGCCTTAAACAGATTTCTGTTTTTACAGGTTGCAGAAGGAACTAAGCAGCTACCTCACCTGTGGGACCTTTGTGTCAATGAGATTATAGTCAGGTCTGCAAAACATGTTCTCAAGGTGATCATCGTTGCTCTAAATCAATCCTTTTTTTTTCTTTGCTTTTAAATTTCATTTTAAGTATTTTATGTTAGCAAAAGTAACGTGTGCACATTAACTCAAAAAAAAAAAAGAAAATTAAAATGATGGCAGACAAAGTAGGAAGGTTGTTCTCTTTACTTTTCAGAATAGAATACTGTCAAAAGCTTTGTTCATCAGTTCTTGTTGATCTTCCAAGGGAAGAGTTAGGTTTAGAGGGAAGAAGAGAAGAGAGAGGGTGACGTAGAGAGAATATGAAATTGAGAGAAGATAAAGGAAGTTTGAATTTAAGGAAATTTGAATCCGTATTTCCGTTACTCCTCTTCCCACCAACACTATTAGTGTTCAAAATTCAGTTACAACTGAAAATGAGCTGAAAGGAATTCCTGCAGACCCTGTTACATTTCCTGTTTTCAGGATTCTAGTTTACCTTTTTGCTCTTCTTTCTTTGATATGCCATAAGTGGCTTTTTGATAATGCCCTACCCTCGAGCAACAACCTGGTCTCCAGAGTTGAAATGGGGAAATTTGGTGCGAATATACTCGGGATCTTCCCCAGTATAGTCTTCTGATGCTGTACCAGCCCAATATATCAGTACTTGTTCTACTTCCTTGCCATCTTGAAGAAGTTTTCTTTCTTGTAGTGTGCTCTCAGGCTGCAAACTGATGATGCCGTCCCAACTGGCTTTTGGTAGTTCATCCACTCGGACCTTGTCTCCGGCTGTATATTTGTTCAGTTGAGAAAAATGGAAAACTAGGTGAATCCTGAAATTGGGAGGCAGCTTGAGTTTATAGGCTACTGTCCAATCTTCTGCACCACTTCAAAGGGGCCATCATAGTGCGGAGACAACTTAAAATGGCCATTCTCATGAATAGATCCTTGCTTGTAAGGCTGCAATTTGAGTATGATTAAGTGCTGCTTCTGTAAACTTCTCTCAGAGCACTGTGTGTCTGCATACTGCTTGATGCGAGCTTGCCCTTGTAGTAAGTGCTGACGAAGAATTCAGTTGATGTGGTTGTGTTTTGTCATGAATTCCTTCTCTGAGGGTGAGGGGGTCTGCAAGTCCACCGTATCCTGAAATTGTGGGGGAGGAAAACTATATAAGGCTTGGAATGGGGTCATCTTTAGGGTAAAGTGGTAGGTGGTGTTGTACCACCACTCTGCTAAGGAAAGCCATCTTGCCCAGGTGTTAGGTTGCTGATGTGCCATACACCAGAAGTACATTTCCAGGCATTGGTTGGGCCTTTCTGTTTGACCATTCGTTTGTGGATGGTAGACGGAACTGAATCACAATTGTGTTCCTAATGCCTTCATTAACTCCCTCCAAAAAGTAGTGGTAAATAACTTATCTCTGTCTGAAACCAACACTTGAGCTACACCATGTAGCTTGTGGGTGGTGTCGATGTAAAGTCTGGCTAGATCTTGCACTGTGAAGGGGTGGCGGAGGGCAATAAAATCCCCATGTAAGTGAAATGATCAACAACCACCAAGATAGTGTTTTTGGCTTCAGACTTGAGAAGCTGCTTGATTAGATCTAATGAAAAGTGAGTCCAAGCCTGTGTGGGAACTGGTAGAGGCTGTAGGAACCTTGGTCGAGGGATCCTTTCCAATTTACAGCATTGGCATACTTCACACTGGCGATTCCACTTAATTATTTACTGTTTGAGCTCCGACCTATAAAAGTGTTGCTTGAGCCACTCGTAGGTGGCTAATGCTGGAATGCTTCCTCATTGCGAAATTATGGCGCTAATGTAAGAGTCTGTTATGCAATACTCTATTGTTTCCAATACTGATTCTACATTTGTAGCAGGATGCCATTATGCAGCTTGAAGGTGGCCATCTATCTGGAGACACTTAACAACTCTTCCAGTATTGAATTAACTGAAGTGCCATTGTGGTGGTTGTGACTCTCCTCTGTTAACCAAGCTGGAGTGGCAACAGTGAAAATGGATAACACCTCTGCCTCATCTGAAGTTGTTTCTCTATGGGACAAGGCATCGGCTACTGCATTGGAAATGACTTGTTTATATAGAATAAAATTACTTAAGCCCAGTAGCTTGAGAACTCTTTTTTGTTGGATCATGGGGGAAACTTGTTGGTCCAAGAGATATTTGAAGCTTTTCGGTTAGTCTTGATGATAAATTGGGTCCCTTCTAAATAATGGCACCATTTAGAAACAGCATAGTGAACAACCATCAACTTCTTCTCATAGACCACTTTAGCTTGATTCTGTGGATTGTGCCTTGCGAATAAAAGCTATTGGCCTGCCATCTTGTATTAACAGTGCTCCAATCCCTTTGTCACTTGTATCTGTTTCCACCGTAAAGGATTCCTCAAATTGTGGAAGATTGAGTCTTTGAGATGCAGCAGCATCCTTGGGACTTCATTAGAAGCCCGCTTTCTTCAACAAACTTATGAGAGGCTCGGTATGTTTCCATAATCTTTAATGAACCTCCTATAATAACATGTTAGCCCTAAAAACCCCTTAATGCTTTCAAAGTCCTTGAGTTGCAACCAGCTAATCATGGCTTCAATTTTTTGAGGGGTCCGTCTTCACTCCATGCTGTGAAATTATGTAACTGAGATATTTTATTTCCAGCCTCATAAAACAACACTTGAACTGATTGGCATGTTCTGGTGTTTCCATTGGGTAGCACTTTCTATCTCCTGCTGTTTGGGGTGTTCCTGTAAACCAAAATATTGTAAAAATACTGAACAAATTTTCACAGGGAATCTAGGAAGATTCAATTCATAAAGGCCTGAAAAGTGGCAGGTGCATCGGTAAACCTGAAGAGCATCTCTTTGAATTCATAGTGACCCCGGTGGGTCCTAAAAACGGTCTTAGAAATATCTTCTTCATTTACCCTGATTTGATGATGTCCAGTTCTCAGGTTAATTTTAGAGAATCCAGAGACCCCAAACAACTCATCTAGCAAATAATTAATAATAGAATGAGGAATTTAATTTTTACCATGAGGGAGTTCAATTTCTTATGGTCCACATAGGACCTCCATGAGTCGTCCTTCTTTTCTACCAACAGTGGTGGTAAAGAGAAAGGACTATGATTGGGTTGAATTATGGAGTCCTCCAACATCTTACCGACTTGCATCTCAGTTTCATTTTTCTGGAAATGATTGTATCTATAAGTGCACAAGTTCACTGTGGTTCAGCCTTTATCAAAGTGATGGCGTGATTGAAGGCTCGGGAAGGTGGCAAGCCTCTTTTTTCTTCAAAGACATCTTTATACTGTTTCCCAGAGAGCATCTTACTGAGCAGTATGGTTCTCTGTCAGCTTTGAATCTGTGGATTCAGTTCCCATAATCACAAAAACAGTCCCATCTTCAATTAGCTACTGTTGTTCCAATAACTTCTGTGTGGTTGGACTTTGAGCCTTGTGAGTTTTCCATGCTAGTCTGAAATCCCTAAGGACAACTAATAAATCAGCATAATGAAATTATGCCTTATCCAATCGACTCCCAATGTCATATTATGCCCTCCTAATTCAATGATCCACTTAACTTCCAAGCACTCTACTCTACTGAAGATTTTCTGACCATTGGTCACCACTCTACTCCCCCCCCCCATTTGGTGGTTGACCCACTGTCTATGAGGACCGAAACACTATGGCCTTCTAATTTGCCTATAATTTTTAAGGTGTTGCCAACTAACACACCCTCGATGGCTTGAAGGGATAAGGTACCTATAAATTCCTTATCAGCCTGCTTTCTGGTCAACTTGTTTCAACTCATTATCTGCCGTGTCATCCACCAATTCTTCCACAACCATCACTGTTTTAGATCTGAAACAGTGGCCAGGGAAGTATCTATCATCGCACTTATAGCATGATGCAACTGGCTTCCCTTCCTCATTGTCCTTGGGTGTGTTGCTTGCAGCTGAGGGTTAAGAACAACCCCTTCTCTTGCTATCTTAGGTCTTGAATTCCTCTAACTATAGTATTGAGAATTATGCCCCACGAAGTAAGAGCTTTTGGACATCTCAATTATAGACTGCTCCTGCAGGAGAGCCTGTTCAAAAGTTTGGTTCAAGGATCTCAGCTTCAATAGTTCAAATTGGTTGGAGCTAGAGGCTTAAGTCCAAAGATAAAACTGGAGATGAAGAATCTCTTAGAGAGTATGGGGTTGTTCGCTGTCATAAGGCTCTATAGGTGAACTTCTGCATCAAGTTATTAAATTCCTCAATGAAGTCTTTCCAATTCACCCCTCACAAATCGGCGGTAGAGCTCAACAAATTTTTCTTGTTACAGGTTCTCGTCTTTGGCCATTCACCCTTGATACCATACATCCGCCACTTTCTGGCCATTGAGAGTGTCATGCACGAAGAAGTATTTCTCACAGCTCTAACCCATGCTCGAGGGTTAATGCCTTTGAACAAAGGAATCTCTACCTTTGGTAATGCTGATTGTGAGGGTCCAACAGTTCGAGAGCACAAAGGGTAGTTGTTTTCTCCAACACCTCGCGAAACAGCAGTAGGGAGGATGCATTGCATGGCTGCAGCAACCGGTGATTTTTAATTCACCTGAGTGTTTGACTTGATGATTCATGAGTCCCCTCGCATCATCTCAATGATTTGATCAAGCTGGTACTTCGTTTGTTGCTCCGCTTCATAAACCACAGTCATGAAATCAATGATCAATCGATCCACTTCTTTCATGGAGTCTTCCATCTGCTGCATTTTATGTGATTCCACGATTGTCGATTTCCCTTTTGCTCTCATCATCTACGCCAATGAAGCGTACTTTTCACTGGATTCCAACTATGCTGATACCACTTTGTCAAGAGCTTTGATCATGAGCTTTTTGGATCTTCCGAGAGAAGAGAGTTAGGTTTAGAGGGGAGAAGAGGAGAGTGAGAGACGAGAGGAGAACACGAAACAGAGAGAGAAGAGAAAGGAAGTTTGAGTTTGGGGAATTTTGAGTTTAAATTTCTGTTACACCTCTTCCTATGAAAAACCCTGTTTATGCTAGTGTTCAAAATTCGGTTAAAACTGAAACTGAGTTGAAAGGAATTTCCTGTAAATTCTGTTACATTTCCTGCTTCAAAAATTCTAATTTACTTTTTTTTCCTTCTTTCTTTGGTACACCTTAATTGGTTTCCTGTAAATACTTGTAGTTGTGATTCTTGTCACATTTTATTGCACTTTATAAACTAATCTTGTATTTTCTCTGGCTCTTATATGCAAATGGAATGATTGAATATTTGTGTTTAGTTGTCCTATTAATGTTCTAATGAACTGGTTGTATTCTGTCATCGCGTTTGTACACCAGTACCCCATCTCTTGCTGGAACCTGAATAAAGAGAAATCATTTACGAATTTCCATCAGTAATCCTGATGCTATTAGTCCTATCTTCTGCAACAAATAAATGAATAAATAAATAAATAAATAAATAAAGGTTGAATCTATTTAATGAAATTGCAGATGATCTTGATACTTTTTGACCTAGCTCTTGAAGTGCTAATCAAATGAATAGTAGTGTTGAAAGAACGAACTATAATGGAGTAGCAGTTCCCTGCAAGTTACATGCCCTTTCTCATTTAACAGTTGATGGTGACTGGATATTGACTGGATATTAGACGAACTATATAAGCTGGTCCCCTTAATGTTGAAGTTCTCCTTTTAATTGCTGATGTTTTGGGACTACAGCCTCCATGTAAGATACTGATTGATTAGGACATGGAATATTTGATGTATTGACTTATCCAGAAGGTAGGTTCATATTTAAAAGTTGCCTCTCTCCACGAGTGCAAATATTAGAATTCATTGGCTGGGTAATTGACTTTTTTGCTATCCTCATCTGGTTTTGTAGGATGTTTTGAGAGATACTGAGGATCATGATCTTGGACCTGCATTATCACATTTTCTGAATTGTTTGTTTGGAAGTTGTCAAACTGTTGGTGGGAAAGTTGCTGCCATGCATTCCAGAGGCCAGAAGAAAGTATGTAAAACATGGTAGCTTAATCTGTTGGCATATTTCTACATGTACTGGAACTTCTTTTTCCACTTGTCTGTATATTGACTGTGTATTGTGCAATAGATAACATGTATTGGCGAAGCTTTAACAATGAAATAAAATAGTTTCTTCTGGAAGAAGAAAGTTCCCTGTAAATAACACCTGTAGTTATGATGATGAGTGATGCTGATGGAATAAACTAGAGAAAACATTCTTCTTATTTATTTTCATATATTGACAGGAACAACCAGGTCAGTATTCAAGCAAGGGTTTGAAGGGCCAAAGCAGGGGAAAGGCAAAATCACCAAGAAAGAGTTATTCCTCTTATATGAATGTTAGCTCAGATAAGCTGTGGTCTGACATTCAGGAATTCTCAGAACTGAAGTATCGGGTATGAAATTTTATTGTGTTGTTAGATTATCTAAAGGAAGTCGTTGACTTTAGTTCATCACTAGAGGGGTAGTTGACGTTCAACTATGCTAGATGAATTCACTCGTAATTGTGGAAACATAAATCAGCATTGTACATCAGCTGGAAGATTAATGAGTTTGTTTGTTACCTTGCTTCCTTGAGTGATAGACATAATAAGCTTATTTGTTTTGGTCATGCTAAATCATGTTTTTGCTTTAGTTTGTCAAGGAAAATTTGATACTCTTTCCACGTTGCCAGACGTGGGGCGGAGATCCTGAGGGAACCATACAAGTTGCCTGTTTGCTAGAAGAAAAAATGTGTACTTTTGCTATTGTATACAGTTAAACCAATGGTATTTTCATTGTAGTTTGAGTTGCCAGATGACGCAAGAGCACGAGTCAAGAAAATTCATGTTATACGGAACCTCTGCCAGAAGGTATGATTATAAATTCAAATATCTTTTTTTTGAAGGAGATATAAATTCTCATAACTGGATGCTCATATTTGATGCATCTCATCTTGTAAGCCTTTAAGTTCACTTTGTCACTTGAATTGTGCTTGTTTGCCTCGCCTTTTCTAACTCACATGCACAGGAATCACTATCTTTCTTGCTTCGATTTTTAAAGCACAAGTTTTTATCATGGTTTGTCTACAAATTGTAGGTGTTTATTGATGCATAACAATGTTTTAAGTGTAACCTAAATTCTGATATGCTTTTTCGTTGACTATGATAAATTTTGAAAAATAAAGGTTTTTTGGGACTTGCATAACTTCGATTTTCAGAATTCATGCATGACTTTACACCGCTTAAAACATGCATTTCTGTGCTGCTATGTGTGTCTTTTAGCCTTACCAATTACATAAAATCTGAAACTAGCATTTTAGGTTTTAGATGGATGTAGGTTTGAGTTTTATTTTTACATTGATAGTCTGCATTCTTTCTCTAGATTACTTAATTCGGTTCATTAACAGGTGGGCATTACCATCTCTGGCCGCAAATATGATCTTACTGCTGCAACCCCTTTTGAAGCATCAGATGTATTGAATCTTCAACCAGTGGTTAAACATTGTATTCCTGTATGTACGGAAGCTAAAGATCTTGTGGAAATGGGAAAAATTCAGTTGGCTGAGGTAAGCACCAGTTCTTTTGTCTTAAAGAGGCAGTTGATATATTGAAATTCATCCAACTTTTTTTTTTTTTTATATAGATTATTGACTCATATTGACATTAAAATGTATGTACAAGCTAAGGTTGTATCTGATTCAATTCTCATTCTATTCCCACCTAATTCCTATCACTAATCTTTGTATTAGTCTTGACGTGTAAAATAGGACATGATTTGTACATTTAATTTCACCCCCTATCCTATCCCACCTTGAAGTTTTCACTAATCTTTGTATTAGTCTTGACATGTAGGATATTGTATGTTTAATTTCATCCCCTTACCCTATCCTACCTTGAATTTTTCTTGGAGTGGGAATTTAATTCCTATTCTTAGAGTTCAAGATGGGCACGAGAGGTGAGACAAATATAAAATTTTGTTATCTGCAACACAAGTATATAATTGATATCTGAAGTCATTTCAAGGACCGTAGGACTTAGTAAATGTTTGTATTTGGATTATTAAATCTAGTAGTTAGCATGTTATCAGTTGATAGCTTTTGACTTCTCACAATTACTGGCTTCGGAACTCTTTTTTGTAGTCATGTTCAATAGTCTTTACTGTGATTTTTTAAAAAATGAAAAAGAATCATACTGTAAAAAGAATGTGGCTGTTAATTTTGAGTTTTTCATTCAGGGTATGCTTAGTGAATCATTTGCACTTTTTACGGAGGCACTTCAAATGTTCCAACAGGTAACTTAATTGTCTTCTATTCAATTCAGCATGTTGAAATTCTTCCTTGTGCATATTCTTAAATCTTATGAACTTCAGGTGACTGGTCCAGTGCACCGAGAAGCTGCTAACTGCTGCCGGTACCAATCTCAAAATCAGTATTTTACATCTTTCCAATTCCACTTTATGTATTGCATTTTTGGTAAATCAGAGATACGCATACTCTCCCTTGCTTGCTCTGAAGCATGTGCTTTGCACATGAAAACCTTTTTCTGAACCATGTGAGGACTGGCTATATGCATTTTTTTATACCATTCCACACTCTAAAGGTCATTCACTGCATTATATCATATAAGGAAAGATCCCTTCCTGTTGCTATGGGTCATCATATCATAGTTGAACCTTTTTATCTTATGCTCTGGATGCTGTGCTATCCCTGCTTTATCTTGAATAGCTTTGTTTCTAAATTCCTTTTTTGGACATAAACATTTACCCATAGGATTGTCATCTCAGTTTCCTGGACGTGTTAATTTAATTTCCTAAACACTTATCACGCAAAGGTTGAGCTGTAGGAATTCTGTAAAAATTTCGTTTTAAGAAGGGAAATAAAGAGCATATCTTGATAAAAACTTTCACGTGGTATGGTGATTCAAGACTCTTACTTTCCTTTTTCCCTCAAATAAAACAATGGATGGAAAATAACTGAAAGTTTAATTCTATACGGTGAGAAAAGAATGAGAAGAGGTAGAGGAAGAATAGCTTAACACTAGAACTAGATTGTGATAAGGACAAAGGACATCCAAGGGACTCAAAGGTTACTGGATGTCAGGACAATTGAAGAATAATCTAGGACGTGCCTTCCACCTGAGAGAATGAATCACCATATGACCTAAATCAACTTCTATAGACCTATAATATTGAAAAACGCATGTGATCCGTGGACCATTTTGACGCTTCACAAGTTTTATTCAGTAACTTTACCATATGACCTAAATCAACTTCTATAGACCTATACTCCTGGAAAACGCATGTGATCCATGGATGATTTTGATGCTTCTTAGATATTGAAAATTTTCTAGTAAACCAAACACAACTTTTATGATACATATATGCATATGCTCAGTGTTTAAGATAGTTGTTTGTGACCTTCTAGTTTTCTTGCAACATCTCTCACACTTCTCGGCTGATACTAATGACAACCTTTCTCAAAATTTCAGGTATCTTGCCATGGTTATGTATCATGCTGGGGATATGTCTGGAGCCATATCGCAGCAGCACAAGGAACTAATCATAAATGAACGATGTTTAGGCTTGGATCACCCTGATACTGCTCACAGGCAATAGCTTACTTTCCTTGAATTTTTCCTTTTCTTTTTAAATCATGTTGGTGCTTGGATATAATTTTTGTGCAATTTGCTGAATTTTTTCATGTAAATTTTTTGTTAACACTGGTTGTGTTTGCTCTAAATTTTAATCATATTGAGTATGAATGTAAATGTAATAAAATGGAATAAAAATTTGAATAAAATAATATTCTAATTTAAAAGTTAATTCCACATCTAATTCAAGATATCTAATTTTGGGGCCATTCCCTTGACAAATGATAGGGACATATTCATTATGAAATTGAAACTATGAGTAGATTTTAGTCCATTATATGTGAAATATGCAAGTTATAACTGAATTCTACATGCTAGTCAGTTAAGATGTTGGAATAGAATGAGAATAAAATAGATTCACGGCAGATAGAAATAAACATTCAAAGAATTATCTGGAAAGATTGGGAATTATGTGAACTAATAACCATTTTGAATTATCAAAATGTGGCCATGTTTCATTTAAGTTTCATCTACAGAACAGTTTTGAACTTTATTCCTCATAATCCTATAATCTCTCTTTTTCCATCTGTCCATCCCTGATTTTGTTTTTTTGACATGAGCTGCAACTCTTCTACTACTGCAGTTACGGCAATATGGCTCTTTTTTACCATGGACTCAATGACCAAGAGACCGCTCTACGGCACATGTCTAGGGCATTGCTCTTATTAAGTTTATCGTCTGGCCCAGATCACCCTGATGTTGCTGCTACTTATATAAATGTAGCAATGATGTACCAGGATCTGGGAAAGATGGACACAGCTCTCCGCTACCTGCAGGAGGCATTGAAAAAGAATGAGAGGCTTCTGGGCCCAGAACATATTCAAACGGCTGTATGCTATCATGCACTAGCTATTGCATTCAACTGTATGGGTGCATTTAAACTCTCTCAACAGGCAGGTGTCTTTATGCACGTCATTTATCTATCATCATAAAATGTCTTCTGGCAAGTTTTGCTGATTGATCATAGCTTTTGCTGTGCACAGCATGAGAAGAAAACCTATGATATACTTGTCAAACAGCTTGGTGAAGAGGATTCAAGGACAC